ATAATTTGGAACACAGTGTATGAACCAAACCTTTACCTGTATGAAGGATGATACAGTCAGATATTAATTGTACAAAGTTGGAAGAATAAAAATGAAGTGTGGCCACAGTAAGAGAACATTTAAAATCCCATTCTTCTTGTTGAATGGAAGAAGACTAAAGCAATGGAGAAGTTTGAAAGAAATATGTCAGAGGGAAAAGGCAGTTTTCCATGCAGAAGCAGATCAGACTGTACTAAGGTATGGGTAGATAACAGGCAGGATATTAAATGATGCTGCTGGAGAAGAATCTAGACTAAAATAAAAGAACCAGAGAGACAGTAAGCAGAGATAAAAGGCAAGAAGAAGACAGACAGGGATGAGAAGGAGGGGAACATTCCTTCCACATAAAACTGTTGAGCTTTTCTTTCCCTAAAATACAAACATATATATCTGTAAATTATGGCTCCCCTCTGGACCTTTCCCTCTGAGAAACTGTAAGTCAGAACAGACAGGAGCAGTCTGACGCAAACGCTGTAAGGAGAAGCTCATGGACACATACGGTCAACGCGATTTAGATCACATACTCATGCGGTGAGCCAACAAAACTGGCGGTTAGGCTTGCTATCAACCATCTAAAATACTGTACATCCATGCAGTCCAAGAGCCCAGGCCAGCCCAGGCCCCGCCTGGCTGTCCTGACACACAAGACTGTAGGGTATAAGAACCAGTATGGGAATGAACCCCTTGTTTGGCTGGCTTTTCTGATCTGACACATATGACACCTTGTCTCTGGTGCTTTCCATTACATTGGTTATTCCATACAGTGTTTCTTTTATCCCACAGCTACAACTACAGCAACAGCACGCTTGAGCAGGAGGGAGTCAAGGGCCCTTGAGCCGATTTCTGGCCCTCTGTAGAGTCTTTCTCCACTGTCAAGAGATAGAATAGCAAACAGCTACTGTAGATTTCAGTGTAAGTGTAATAAAATTACACTGGGACTATCGTAATAATGAACAAGCTCTTGCTAAAAAACACACTTTTCAGAGAAGTGTAATGGTAAATGGTTACCCCCCGTTTACACAGGACATGTTACAGCTGCATTTTTCACTCATCTGTCTAACAGAACAGATACACTTGCCTTTTAACCACAGCAACAGTGCTCCACATATGTCACTGCAATTCAAAGCATCCTCTCAGGCCCTTAATCAATGTTTTTTCCTCTTACAAATGCACCGACATGATTATCCATTGGGCTGTGGGCACTGTCAAAAGACTTGAGTGCACCGCACTATGTTGCTGAACCAATTCTGTGTACACACTGATGGAGGACTACAGCTAACTGCTGTTGTGCTGCTTTCACTTCATGGCCAAGGTGAAAGCATAAGAGAGTCAGGGAAACATTTTAAAATGTGTGTGTTTTATCACAGTGGAGCCATACATTTCTGTGGGCTCTTTGTCCTTGCATGACTGGCTAGAGAGCAGGAACAAGCTCATCTAAGCATTTAACAGGCTGGCCCTGTGGTGAGTGCAGACAGGAGGGGGCTGTGTCTGCCAAGCCTAATGGCAGGTCAGAGTTCACACAGTCTCACACATACACTGAACACAAATGTATCACTGTGGAAAAACCAAATTTAGTGACTACACAGCAGACACAGGGCTCTTTCTTCAGTCTTCATTATCACCACAGATAAGCATCACACCTACCTAAAAGACCCAAGTGGAGCAAAGACAGAAACATGATAGGAAGTCACAAAAGTGGCACAAATACACAAAAACAGAAATGAACCCTCCTGTGGCATATTTAGCACAAACACACATGGTAATTTTAGCCCTCTGCTGTGGGTTGGGACTTTAATGTAAGCCTCAACAGGTACTCTGTTTAATGACCACAGAGGGGAACTCATGCACAAACATATCAGGAGAAACCCCCAACCCAAGTTTACCCATTTTACACACACACACACACACACACACACACACACACACAGACACAGACACTCTGGGAGTGATGCTCTGGAACAAGCACTGCGGCCTGCAGTCTTCCACTCATTCATTCCCTCTCCCCTTCCGAGGGATTGGGTGGATTTATGATGGAGAAGAGCGACGGACAACAAGAAAGTGGCGATTTGCCTGCAGTGCGCCAACTTGGCTCGGTCCAGCCTTGAGGACAGCCAGCTGGTCACACATCACATATTCACACGCATCACTGACAGGCTCAGTCTGTAAGGAAACACCATTCCACTCACACATACAAAGACTTACAACACAAAGAGACTCCACCCTTAGGACGGCCAACTAGTCACACATCACTGAAACGCTTACCAAATGGAAAGTCTCTCCATGTTCACATACGCACACAATGAGGACATATAGTTAAACTGGCAAATGTGTGCCGTTTCACAGCATTAGCTTTGCATTTGTCTCATGGTCTGTCATTACCTCCAGACTTCCATGACGGAGTGAGTTGGGAAAAAAAGGGTGGTTTAAAGTTTCTTTAACGACAAACAGACTTTTAAGCTCTGTGTTTGTGCTTGTACTTGTGTTTGTTTGTACATACTTGTGCATCGAAGTTTGAATCACACAGCAGTAGCTATGATACAAGCCTGATGGTAAGAGGAAAAATCGTGGCAGTAAAGAACATCAAAGTCATCATCAAGTCAAAACAAGAACAAACAGTACTGCAATAAAACCACACACGTGCACAATACTCTAACTCATCAGCGTTTTCCTTGAAAAACTCATAAGGGATTCCTGTGTGATGTCATGCTGAGAGCCAAAAAAAGAGTGGGGCATAAATATTTAAGGAAAGGACAGAGAAATATATCATTACTTTTTATTTCTCGCTGATTCATGTGTTTGTTCCAGCTAAAAGGAACTTCAAGATGTTTCACAACAGAGCGTCAAATTCACGTTGCACATACACGCTCTTCTACTCGATGAAGCAAGAAGACCGAGTACAAACTTAAGAGAAGCAACGGCTCCAGTGGAAACAAGCAGCCTATTAAAAGGAACTTCTAAGGGAGGACAGATGACCATCAAAAGACAAAAAAATGTGACAAATGCAGAAGAAGTTTGTTTCCTAAAACTCAGAAGGTTTGTTTTTAGATTAAGATTGGCCAGTAAACAGGCCATAAAGATAAGAAGCTGATAGTATTGCATTTTAGTGCATCCTTCAAATATCAAACATTCTGGTGGTCTGTGTGTGTGTGTGTGTGTCTTTTACCTAGGTATGGTATACAAGAGACCATGCTCTGGCTGCTTATGAAGTCTCTCAGACGTTTATAGTTGTCTTCTTTGGACATCAGGTAGTCGAGCCGATCAAACGTTGCCTTGTCCTTCCGACTTAGTAACTGTGCCGTAAAGAACGAAAGAAAAAGAAAAAGGGAGAATGAGAAAAAGAGAGTTTAACAGAACATCCATAACGGGTTAGCAACACATACAGGCTAGAAGAAATACAATGTAAAGGAGGTCTTCAAATAAAATGACTTCACCTTCGACATTTTAAGTTGCCTTCATTCGGCTGCACTTACTAATGAATGAAATCTGATATACACCAAAGGACAGTAACAAGTAACAGTAAAATACAGAACAGAAAGAGACTGAGAATCAGAAACAGAGCAGGGAAATGTATGTATGATTAGACTGATTCAGGGCTGACTGTGAGACAAACCATCAATTTTGATTCAGAATTTCCAGTCAACCTTTGATAAAGTAGGAAAATAATCCTGGCAAATCCAGAGGGTGTAGTCAGTCCTTTAACCATTCAAGATGTTGTTCAACCAATGAACCACTTATTATTGTTACAGTTGTCAATGTAAGAATAAAATGCAGTTACGTTGCACGGAATAAAAACATTGCTCTCCGGCTGATTGCTTGTCTCAATGAATTGGCCACTCAAAAACTTAGTGCCAGAGCACCGAGGTGAGCAGCTTTCCAGGTAGAGAAAGACTGTTTGTTTGCACGCTTGTGTGCGTTTGTCCATTTGTCAGAGCTATTGATATGAAGCCTACTCCTACAAGAGGGCTGCACTGCAGACTAGTTAACTTGTGGACTGAGGCAGCAGCAGTTTTAAAGCATCTGACCACAGTACAGCTGCTCTGCTGACATAGGGACTTTATAGGTTGTGATAATAGAATAAAGTACTAAAGATACCTGCAAAGATCAAGTGTGTGTGTGTGTGTGTGTTTGTGTTTGTCTACCCGTCTGTCTTCTAAGAGGCAGGTGTGCTATGTCCTGGCAAACAACAGCATTTGCTGACTGGTAAAAAGAGAGTCTCATGTGGTTTTGTGGACCCGAATATAAGAAATTTCCACCATTACATCAGAGCATCATGTCATTATATAAACTCTACATGAAACAGGCTGATTGTCAATCCAAGTTTTTAAAATGGATACATCATTTCTTGAATATAAAAGGTCTACAGTAAAATAATGTGTAACTGTTTCCGCCACACAAAACCCATCTCTCTGAAAGGTTTGTTAAATATGATCTTGTGAAATGTGGTAAATTTAACATCCTCTTTATTTATTAGGTTTTTTTCCGAACTCTGCCATTCATCTTGTCATGTCACTTGTGCAGTTTGTATCAGCCGTTGTTTATGCGTCTAGTGTTTTGGTAGAGATCTGCGTGACATCCCAGTTTATTGACAGCACTCTACTAATAAACCAGACATGCTTGCCTTCAAAGTAAGGTAAATATACTCACCGCCCATGTTTTGGTAAGTCTGAAGATGGGAGCACTTTGTAACGCTGACACCACAGCCATGACCGCATGGAGGTTGTTCATGTCACACAGTTTCTATTAAGTACACAGAGCATACATTAAGTCAAGTTTACAATGCAAACACAAGGATAGAACAACAATGTCATGTTGTGTGTGGATGTGTGTACCTTGGCAGTGCGAATGTACAGACTCAGCACCTCAGCTCTGATCTTCAACGTCTGAGCGTGGAGGATCTCTCGTACCACCCAGAAACTCGTCTAGAAAAAAAAGCCACACATGAACAGAGATTACGGCACCAAGCAACAGTCAAAAACTCACCCAAAAACATATCCAAGATACTGCAAAAACTGGGGACAGAAAACTTTATCTCTCATTATGTTACATATTACACAAAGAAAATATCAGGTATGTACAAAGCAAGACAGGGAGTTTTCCCTCGTTAAATCTCCAGTCTTTGAGTCCAGAGCCAATGTCGGCAGACAGTCATGACAACTCTGGGCTGAAACCAGTACAAAGCAGAGCAGGGGAGCACAGGGCAGACAGCTAACGCTCCATTAGAGTCGATTAAAAATTAGCTCTTTAGGAAAAACAAGAGCTGCAGAGGAAAATCCAACTGATTCCAACTGATTACACAACAGATACACTTTATAACTCGACTAATATGTCGACCCAGTGTGTATGTGTGTATACGTGTGTTCAGAGGCCAGACTAAGAGTGATGTCGGAAATCTGTCTCTTTAGGGAGAATGCTGGTAAGCCAAAGTTCTGATTACACGTACACACGTACAGAGACAAGTCAGTGAATCAATCAGTGTTTAAGCTCTGGGGAGAGAGGGAATGGAAAGAGGAAAAGGAGAAGAGTGAGGGAAGAGAGGAGGTAATGGGAGGGGAAGTTAGCTTCAACGCTGCTGGGCTGTGAGGGTTTTCAAAGCCCACGGCTGTCTGCACATTGTGTTCTGATAAGACCGTCCCAGGCAGACTGACCATTAACACAGACACACTTTTACTCTTTCAGGTCCTGAATTATTCTCCAACTTTGCTCGGTGGCCATTCTTCTCTCCTATTAGACTTGTGGTCAACATTTCTCCATTCAAGCCACAGACCACTAGGTGTGTCCTGTATATGTCTATGGATTAAGTGTGTGTGTGTGTGTGTGTTTCTACATTCTTGATGTGCACAAATCCTAACCTACAGCTGGCTTTGGCTACTGTTTCCTGGAAGCAGCCCCATGACTTGTTTTTGTTTCAAGGAAGAGATGAGGAGCTGAGGAGTGAAGAGATAAATTCATCCAGCTACTCGCTCTCTCCCAATCTTCTCTTATAAACACGAGACACACACACACACACA